ACTTGGACGAGGCCTTGTCTTTAAGATTAAGAATCAACCCTCCTTCACCATTCAATGTGTTTGGGAGCTTCAAACAGCAAGGGTGCAAATATGCTTTCTTTGATTTGTACATGAAACCTCGAATATCTTTCCCACATGCTTTACAACGCTTACCATGTTTTCTTTTCTTCCGAAACTCGAAGATGCAGTTGTTGAAGAACGGATGCGTGGCCAAAGGATCAGCCATAGCACATTTCTCATGAAGATGAAAGTCACACTTGGTTTTCTTGTTACACTGATAGCATGAACCAAATCCTTCTTGTTTGCATCCATCACAACGATAAGGCGTTTGGCTGTAACTCAGCTCTAGCTTGTGGCGATGACTAAAATGCTCTATCTCGGTAACTTTCATGTCTTCGCACATGGAATTTTTTAATTTCTTTTCGAAATCTCAAGCTTGTTTTCACGGCTTCTCTTTTATTATTTTTTCACAAATTCAATACCTGTTTCAAAGATGAAACAATTTTTGTTTTGTAAAATTAGAGCACTATATGATACAATCAGAGTTACATGATTTAACTAAAGCAGACAAGAAGAAAACTCATTAATGATCAAAACAAAAATTGTAAATCAATTAACAAGTAAAATCTTACATTTTAAAACTCGAAACCTAACTCAATTGGTTAATACAACCAATATCACCAGTGACGTCCGGCTGCAACCTCCGGCTGAGATTTTAAGTAATTAAAAAGTATAGTAAATGCTTTTGAGCTCGGCAATTCACCTGGTTTCATGGCAGATTTATAGCTCTATAAGCAGCCAACAGGCAAAAAAGGAAACCTGAGTTTAGTTAACTAACTGAAGTTTGATTTCCTTCATTGCCAGGAAAGTTCAAATTGTCAATTAAAGATTGTTGAATTGTGAGAATTTTCTCCATGGCCAATTTTTCCAACACAAGCTGGCTTGAGTGGTCATTTCCATCGTTTAGCGTTAACAGTGATGGGCGACTTTTCTAGTATGTTTCTTGTTGGCGGTTCAGCAAAAGACAATGATTAAATTGAATATGATATCTTATATGTATGTTATATGAATCTATTTAATTTGATCAACTTGATACAAAGAAATATATAATATCAATTCATGTTTTTTTTTACTAAAATAACAAAAAGTTCTTTAATTTTATTATTTTATTTAAATAAGTTTTTATATTTTTATTACATCCAAATAAACTTTTAAATTTTATTTAATTTGTATCCAAATAAACTCTAAACCTTTATTTTCTACCTAAACAAGCCCTTAATAAAAATTAATCTTTTATTTGAAATAAGAGTTTATTTGAATATAAATAAAAAATATAAAATTATTTTGATACAATAAAAATATATATATATAACTTATTTAGAAAAAGTAAAATAGTTTAGGAATTTTTTAGAATTTTAGCCTTTTCCATAAATCTAGTGTTTTTTTTTAATTTTATTTTCAATTATCAAAGTTATGATACAGTCCAATCATTTACAAATGGGTCGCATAACTATTGGTCGTCCTAAACTATTTCAGACCAAATCAAATAAAAATGAACAACAAGCTTTCATTTTAATAATTTACGGGACCTTTCATATATATATTAGATTTAGCATAAATAAACAAGCTTTCATTTCAATAATTTACTGGATCTTTCATATATGTTAGATTTAGCATAAACTTGCTATAATCAACAATTAAACTGTTGTTACAAGAACTATATATATATATATATATATAAATGGAAACAATTAAAATCAATATATAATTAACCTTCTATGAGCGTACCAACAAAGTTGGACATGAGCTTGGCAATTCACCTGGTTTTATGGCAGATTTACAGCTCTATAAGTAAGCAACAGAAGAAAGGAAACATGAGCTTAGTTAATTAACTGAAGTTTGGTTTCCTTTATTGCCAAAAAAAGTTTTTCATATTATGATCTTTGTGAGAATTTTCTCTATTACCATTTTACCAAGACATGTGTATCAATTTGATTCCAACTTTCATGTGGAGTGAGTAACCAATTAGCCACTCAATTACTTGCCCTTTTCCTATTTTGCTTTGATTTTTTTGGTCTTTTGAGAGCTTCCTTTTTCAACTTGTTCTAGATTGGATTGGCATAGCTTTCTATGATGTTGATTTACAAAGATGTGTGGATGGATTTAGGTCTACTAGCACAATTTCTCAGAAATTTACAAGGATTAAGCTCTGGGTGTTTTCTGCATCAAAAGAAAACAATTGTGTTTGATTTAATCCGTAATTTGAGGATAAAAAAAATTTATAAGTATTACAATTCAAATTATAAACTTGTTGAATATCATCTTGTATAGTTGAATGCATGAGTCAACTGAATTAAGTTATTGGTTCATTAGTGACGTTAATTAAATTGTTAATAAGTTTCATTTTGAACTATACCTATCAAAATCATATATTATAATATGAATTTATTGATTACATTATATAAACACAATATTGGCTACCAATTAAAAAAATGCTAAATACCCAAATAAACTTTAGATTTTACTCCAAATGCAAACAAGCCCTTAGTCTTTTATTGCATTAAACTAAGACTATATATAAATTTTTATTTTTATTGTAATTATACATATTAATTCTTTAAATGGATAATAATATCCCATTGACATAAGTTTTAAAGTAACATTTGTTCCCTCAAATATTTGTTGTTCAACTCATTCAAATAAATTTAAATATGCATTTTTTACAAATTAAATCACCTAACTAAAAAAGTTTAAACAAAAGTGAATATTTTATACGTTAAGGATCTAACTACAATAAAATAAAAATTTATATCATTAATTTCATGCAATAACAAATCAAGAACTTATTTCTAATTTTTAATAAAGTTTAAGAACTTATTTGAGTATTATCCCTTAAAAAACCTATTAAGCACCTTCATATATATTATGTTAGCAACGAGCATAAGAAGCAAGTACTAACAAAAATCCCAAACATATGAATTTCTTTATCAATTACTATACTTTTTTTAAAACAAAATTCAGAGATATTGAACCAATTCTTTTTTTCTATTTTCTCTTTTTTTTTTTTATAAAAGTTATAAATAAAATTATAGATTCCCTTGGTGCAATGAAATTTTTTGTTTATTTTTTTATCGACATAAATTATAATATAATAATTTTTATATTTTACATATATTTAATTCAAAATAATCACCGTATGGATATATGAGTTACAAGGATCATTAAAGTATTGGAAATTCAAAATTACTAAATTGCCCTCAAAGAAAAAGTTTAAAAACTTGAACGTTAATAGAGCAAGCCATCAGGTTTTCAAGAAAAAGAGGCACCATGAACCAAAAATTTGGGGCAGCAAAACAGCCCACTGGGACTCCATCTCTGGCCTGGTCGTGCGTCGTCGTCATCGCTTCACTCCTTGCCGGCGCCTCCGTCGTCCACAACATTTACAAGCCTGATCTCGTAATCACTTCTCTATTTACTTTTCTTCCTTTCTTTTTAATGTATTTGTTTCTTGGATGATATTGAACACCCTTAAAATGTTCGACGAAATGTCCCAAAACACCTTGTTGGCTACTGAAGTCTTGAAACTTGAAATGGCTAATAACCCAGTATCATCTAAATTGCAGTAGTCTTTTGTATATTTTTCTTATAAATAATTTTCAGTCTATTCTTTGTTAATGGCTTTTGTGACTTTGGTTATGCAGACACTACCAATGGTTGAAAATGTGGATGAGGTTAAGAAGAAACAACCTGACAATAAAGTATGAGCATATTTCTTTTCTAGCTATTGTTAGTGTTTCAAAGGACATTAATTTCCCCTAAATGCTTGCAACTGCTTCTAATTTTCTAGAATGTTTGGTTTGTATTATTGTATGAATTCTTCTTTTCTAGATATTGTCTGAAGCTAAATATTTTGTTTTATACTGTTCCATCGTGTTTTATATATATATATATATATATATATATATATGTCCCTTTTGATTTTAATAGTGTTTGTGAAAATTTTGATTTTAGTGTAATTATGTGAAAATTTTTAAATTTTATTTATAAGATTGATGTTCCTTGATTTTTAATGCTGAAAAATATATTTGAAAATATAAAAAATGTAAAAGTTTTAAGTGTTTAAAAAATTGCAAGCAAAAGATCATAGAATTTTGAGATTCTAGTGCGTTAGGATGTTTAATTATGTTTTAATTTATTAGTACGTCGATTATTCAATTTATCATAGAATACTTTATTATAATTGTACTTTAAAAAAATCAATTTGAAACATTAAAAAAGATAAAAAAAAAATATGAAAATTAAGTTAAAAATAACTAAACCAAAATTTAAAATAATTTGAAAAGAAGATTACATCTAAATCTGATAATATATATATTCGAATCATATTCGTATTATGTCAAATATATATAAAATATAAAAATTTATTATGTCAAATATATATTAATATGTTAAATATAAAATATTTTTATTTTTATCAAATTTATATATAAATTTTATTAAAATTTTAAACTTTTTATTTTAAATTGTTTTGATTTTTTATATTATTTTTGTATATTATTACCGTTTCGTATTTAAAATTTTAAAATCTAATTACATCCAAATAAATTCGAAAAAATTTCTACCATCTTATGGAATGAAAAACTTATTAAAAGTTGGATTTTATTCGGTATTGGACTTTGTTTACATTGAAAAGTGGGCCTTGTATTGGGTTTTTATCTAAGGAAAAAAGAAATCCTAATGCCTATTAATAAAAGGAAAAAAAAAAACTCGATTTATTTGCAAATTACATTGTCTCTCCTTCTTCTATCTTGCTTTTTACATCACCACCCTCTTTCGCCGCCGGTTCAACTCACGCCCCACCGCCGCCGATCCATCTCTCAAGTTTAATTGAGTCTTAATTTTCAGGTTTGCATCCTTTAAAGACAAAAATCCAATCTTTTCCCTTTTTCTTTTTTTTTAATCTTAATTTCTTTTTTCTAGGGTTTCCGATTTGCCACCCAATGGGAAAAAACGATTTCCTAACCCCCAAAGCAATCGCGAACCGAATCAAAGCCAAAGGTCTCCAGAAGCTTCGATGGTACTGTCAAATGTGCCAAAAGCAATGCCGAGACGAAAACGGATTCAAATGCCATTGCATGAGCGAATCTCACCAGCGCCAAATGCAAATCTTCGGGCAAAACCCGGACCGGATCTTATCCGGATACTCCGAAGAGTTCGAACAAAACTTCCTCGAACTCATGAAACGCAGCCACCGGTTCAGTCGCGTCGCCGCCACGGTCGTTTACAATGAGTTCATTCATGATCGACATCACGTTCATATGAATTCGACCCAGTGGGCTACTTTAACGGAGTTCGTCAAGTATTTGGGACGGACTGGGAAGTGTAAGGTCGAAGAAACACCCAAAGGTTGGTTTATTACTTATATTGATAGAGATTCAGAGACTATTTTTAAGGAAAAAATGAAGAATAAAAGGATTAAATTGGATATGGTAGAGGAAGAGAAACAAGAGAAGGAAATTCAAAAGCAAATTGAAAAAGCTGAGCAGCTGAAAATGCCTTTGGAATCTGAGGAGAATTCAAAACAGCCTGTCACCAAAGAGCTGAATTTGGAGAGTGGAGTGAAAATTGGGTTTACTTTAGGAGGGGGAAATGTCGCGAAAGGGGAGAGTTCAAATAATGCGAGGTTGGTTTTTGAAGAGGAAGAGAATGAAAACAAGAAGAAGAATGAGGAGAAAGAGAACAGTGGTAGAAAAAATGCGTTGGAAGAGTTGATGAGGAAGAGGAGAAGATAAAGGAGAGAAGCAATAGGAAAGATTATTGGCTTGGTGAGGGTATCATTGTGAAGGTGATGAGTAAAGCATTGGCTCAAAGAGGTACTATAAGCAGAAAGGAATTGTGAGGAAAGTGATCGATAGGTATGTAGGGAGATTGAAATGCTTGACAGTAAGCATGTGTTGAGAGTTGATCAGGAAGAGCTTGAGACTGTGATTTCCGCAAATTGGGGGAGTGGTAAGGATAGTAAATGGGGCATATCGTGGGTCAAACGCTAGGTTGTTGGGTGTGGATACAGAGAAGTTTTGTGCAAAGGTGCAGATAGAGAAGGGAGTGTATGATGGGAGAGTGCTTAAGGCTATCGAGTATGAGGATATATGCAAAGTTGCTCAGTGAGTTCTGCTAGAATTTTGGCTTATAGTGATGAATTTGATATTTTTGCTCTTTATCAGTTGTTCCTCGAAAACAATCTATAGCTTTGCAATGCATGGTTCTTGTTTGGTAATGTATCATTTGCTTGATAAATGCTAAGAAACTGTGTATAAAACTTTCACTGTCCTGAAGTCTTCTGGAACATTTCAGCATTCTGAATTGGTAAAATTTTCAGGGATCTAATGGTGAGTAAAGTAGTTTATTTATCAATTTTTATGCTACTATGCAAATTTTATTGTTTCTTGTCCTTTTGTTTTCTCGTTAGCTTAAGTGAATGGAGCTTATGTACCTAGACATTCAATTGCAAATATATTGCCTTAAACTCGACCATATAAGAAACTAAGTACTCCTCTGATTCAAATCTTCCATGGAATGCCTTAATGTGCTGACAAATATTTTCTAAAGTGGGTTCTTGTGGCCCTAACTTACATTGGCGGGATAGCTAATACTACAAAATTAAGATTCTTTATTTTCTACTTCTACATTTGGTTACTTGTGGTGGCTTGTGGAATGGCTTTGTAGCTTGAGAATTATTAGATCGCTGAAATACTGGAAAACTTACTTTTTATTTTAGTTAGAGATCGAACCTTAATGCATTGGTTCATCACAAGGTTGATATTAGTTAGGTTACAAAGCCAACTGATGAGCTAGGCTTTAAATATATGGATGATGAAGAGTGCTGAAGGCTAGAGTTTGAGGCTATATGGATAGCTTCACAGTGAGATCCAGGTAGAATATCAGCTTAGTTTTATGGAATTTTATCTATTTGTATCAATGGTTCCTCATAGAATTCAGTAGCTTGTGCAATGCATGGTTCTTCCGGTTTATTCATGTATATTTTTGTGATATGTTCAAAACCTCTGTTAATGATGAAAGAAAATGTGTTTCGAAGTCTATAAAATTTTCTACTTATTTTATTTATTTAGGTAGCTGAAGTGTGCACTCAGAAGTGAAGGGAGCCATCTTACTTCAAAATTCAAATGCAAATATATTGCCTATATCATGTAAAAAGCTGGAAATTTTCTGCTGTTAAAGATCATTCAAATTGTTATGGAATGCCTTTATGCACTGATATGTTTTCGCTGGAGTTGGTTCAAGGGGAACTAATTTACATACACAAGATGGCTTTGCACTATAATGTTATGAATATCCACCATGTTTATATTCAGTGTTTTCGAGTCATAGAGCTTGTTTGAACATGAATATATCACACAGCATTCTTTCATTTTCTAACTCAAACTGATACGAGCATATCTCTTATGAGCTTTATGATAGCAGAGTCTTGTTTGATTCCAATGTTATCACTTGTCATGCTGTTATTGAGTGTGATGTAGTGTTTTGGCAGAAATTAGTTGAAGAAAACAAAGGAAAAGACAATGGTGGATTTCCATTGCTATTGTTTTGGACATTAATCATGCAATCTGTTATAACATGTATTCTTTGTCTATTCTCCTGTTATGGAATGCCATGTCCACAGCATCATCGACTATGTTGATTCTAAACTGTTTATCATCTAAAACAACAATGATCAGCTTAACAGGGGCGGAGACAGCGGTGAGGGGTGGCTCCATGGTGGCGGCGGCTGGCGGCCACCTCTACTTAAGAAAAGGCTAAGGGTTGAGCCTACACTTATATTATCCGATAATCATAACGATATGAGAATGGTGGCCAGTGAGAGTACTAATCTACTACAATGAATTGATGGGTACATAAATTTCTTGGTTGGGGAAGTAGTGATCTGCTTTTGGCTCTTCTATTTAGTTATGGACCAACGATCAACCACTCACATGAATATATATTAAGTTGGTGATAAATTGAATAAATTATGTATGTCCAAAGCAAAAGGAGTGTGTGTGCCAATCCCTTCATTTTGCTCAAGTGGTGGGATGAAGCAAAATTTTAAGTACCTACTTGAAATTCAACCGTTAGAATTTAGTTAAATAAATATTAAATTGGTAATTTTAAATATGATACAAATAATATAATAAAAATTTTAACAAAAAAATTTTATGAATTTAAAAAAAAATAAAAAACTGTATTTGAATTTAACATATATCAGGAATTTGTAATAATAAATTTGATACAATAACTTTCATGTTTTAAATTTGTTTAATATTGTTTAACATGAATGTGATAAACATATAAAGAATAGGATAATGCATATTGGTAAAAAAATTGAGGTTATGTGATGAAAAATAATCTATGATATTGTAATTATTATAGATTAATTGTAATGCTATCCTTATAAATACTATGTTCTCTTTCTGGCAAGATAGATGACGTGTTCAGATCATCACCGTTCAAAGCAAGATCTCATAAGTGGATCACACAAATCAAGTCATATATGTTGAGCAATTAAAGATGGGGTGTCATCGGCCTAGGTAGTTTTCTCTCCCACGCCAACCATAGGCCTTTAATGTATACAATCTCAATGCCAGCGCTCCCATTTCCTAAACTATAAACCTGACAGACAGCTTCTCACTTTTTTTCACCAAAAAGCTATAAATTTTGAGATCTCCAAACTCGAAAAATCCAACTTTTCCAAGCTTGAAGCTTCAAAGGGTTTGTTCCTTTAGCCATAACAAAAATTGGGTATCTTTTGTTTTCAGAAAGGATGAAGGTCACTGTAGTTTCACGCAGTGGAAGAGAGTTTATCAAAGGAGGCCTTGAGCTTCATGACTTAGTAAGTCTTTTCTTTTTCTTTCTTGGGTTTTACTTCCTTTTGTGTTTTATAGTGTTAGGCTGATTGCTTGTCTGGAAAAATGAAGGGAAAGAAAGGAAATTTATTATGTTTCTTCTTTCTTTTTTTTGCAGGCTACTGTGGCTGATTTGCAGGAGGCAATTCACAAGAGAAGTAAGTGATTTGCTTTCTTGTTTGTTGATTAAGTGTTACTTAACAAAACAAGGAGGAAATAATAGTCTTGTAACTCTAGATTGGGAAAAATAATTGCATGTTTGTGGGAATTTCCTGTAATTCTTTTTATTTGCATATTGTATTGCATGGATGTTCTAATCTAGTTGACTCTTGAGTGATGAAGTAACTAGACACATTCGATAAAATTATATTTACTTATGGATACTTAACAGATATCACTAAGGTTGATTTTTTTTTGTTCCTTGAAATGTATTCTTCAGATGTCATGTACCAGCAGTAAATTCCTCATGCAAGTAGGGCACTTTTTTGTGCTATGTGTATTATCTTAGGGTTATTAGTTACTCCATTTCCAGTCAGTGAAACGTTTTTATTTTTCACTCAAATATTTGGTAGATTTTATGTTTCAATTCTTCCTCCTATTTGAGTTTCAGATGCTTTGGTAAAATAGATATGTTTATTTCATATTGATGGGAAAGAAATTCTTGCCAATTGCAGTGTGCATTACTGTGCTGCCCGCTTTCTTATGCCAAAAGGGGTTTTATGGGTTTGTTTTTAATTTGGCATCGGAGCACTTACGAATTCCAACATTTTGATAAACTTTTATGCCTTTTTATTGTCATCTTGAGTCTTTCCCCCCAATTTCTCAAGGGATGTGTCTCTGATTGCATGCGTGTGGGCAGCTTCATTGATCATTGGATTCTTATTAGCTGAGTTCTCATGTGTGGTACTAGCAGCTAAAAAGTTCTATCCTTCAAGACAAAGACTCACGCTTCCAGTGCCATCAGGTTCAAAGGTGCGGCCTGTTGTTCTTAGCTACAAGAAGAGTCTCAAAGACTACTGTGATGAAAACCAAAACAACATAACTGTAGTGTTCAAGGACCTGGGTCCACAAGTATCTTATCGTACACTTTTCTTCTTTGAATACTTGGGTCCTTTGATCCTCTATCCCATCTTCTACTACTTCCCTGTGTACAAGTTCTTTGGCTATGAAGGGGAGCGTGTCATCCACCCTGTTCAAATATATGCTTTATATTACTGGTGTTTCCACTACTTCAAACGTATTATGGAAACATTCTTCGTCCACCGCTTCAGTCATGCAACATCTCCACTATCAAATGTCTTCAGAAACTGTGCTTATTACTGGACCTTTGGATCTTACATTGCTTACTATGTAAATCACCCACTTTACACACCTGTTAGTGATCTTCAGATGAAGATTGGTTTTGGGTTTGGGTTGGTTTGTCAACTTGCAAACTTCTATTGTCATATCATTCTGAAGAATCTACGCAGCCCTGATGGTAGTGGAGGGTATCAAATTCCTCGTGGGTTTCTGTTCAACATTGTGACATGCGCAAATTACACAACAGAGATTTACCAATGGCTGGGTTTCAATATTGCTACACAGAGTGTTGCAGGTTATGTATTTCTTGTGGTTGCTACTTCTATTATGACAAATTGGGCCCTTGCAAAGCACCGCCATTTGAAAAAGGTATTTACCTTAGCTTTTGTGGCTGAACGACTAAACCAAATAACCTTTGTGCATGCCATTAGAGTTGCCTTCATTTTCAACACCAAGTGAAATCTCTTACTTCTGCCGCCCTGCCTTTCCTTTCTGCCTAAAACTGAAAGTAAATTAGATCAAGATATGTTGGTTTTTTATTTAATTTGCAAAGTACATACAGGATTAGAATTTCTTTGAGTAACATTGAGTGATTTGCTTCATTATGCTAAATGCTAGTCAAATGTATCGCAAAAGCCTATGTAGAATTCTAGAAGTTCATGTATGATGCATGTCAGCACACTTGTTCATATCACTTATATTGAACTCGGATCAAATTTAAGACAAGGAATTCATATCCAAGTAAAAAAACTGTTTAGCACTCTGCTTACCATTTTGGATCAAGTTCTTTAAAAACCAAAATTGCCACCACAATTGCTCGAAAGACTGCCTCCTTATGGTTGCGTGTTTTGCTTTATATCATTTTGTCTTTGATTTGTTAATAGAAACATCTCCATTCTGTAAATCTTTAGTTTTTTATTGTGTTTTACTTTTAATAAACTTTCCCCTTACCTTTGACTTCTTATTACTCGCAGCTATTTGACGGTAAGGAAGGAAGGCCGAAGTATCCGCACAGATGGGTAATTCTCCCTCCATTCCTGTAGAATTGATGGGTGAGCCTCCTATTCATTGGTCTTTTTGATATAAGTTTCTGTTCTAAAAGCATGGTTTCAAGTTCATGGAAGATCAATTCTTGCCATATATGAACTTAAGATCACTCCTCACAAAATTGTTTGGATTGATTTTAGGTTTCTGTTTAGACAATGTACTGCATCTGGAATGCATTAGAATGGTTTTTTTATCTCTCATATTTATTCCTCAAATCAGATCAACTTGCTCTTCTGTGTAAAAGAAAAACAATTTTTCTATTTATAGATAATCATTAGTGTTGTTGTTTGAATTGATTATCTCTATTCTATCAATATTCAATTGCACAAGTAGCTAAAGTAATGATAGTTAAATGGTGACGGCAAAATCAAACCCCAAAAGTAAGTCTTTGGAGTTACTTGACAGACGTGTTCTGATTTGAGTTCTTTAAGTATGATTTCAAGTTTCAAAATTTAATGCGGAAATTATGATTATGAAACTTGTCCAATCATCACATTACAACACAACAATATCCCAACTGACCAAGTATTTGCTTTTCATTTTTCAATGGCCGCAAAACGTAATATACTTTTGAAAAGGAATGGAAAATGGAAAAATACACCAAAGAATCTTATCATATTCATAATGTTTTAGAACTAATTCAGTTTGGTAACAACTTTTGACCCAAAATATATGATGTTTAGAGCTGAATTCAACATCATATAATATATTTTTTTAATTGAAAAAATGGTCCATTGGGCTTTTGGGTTGGAAGAGTTGCCCCCACAAAGCTTTGAAGTACATACATATTTGTTTGAAAGCAACCTAACAGAAAGAACTCCATTAAATGCCGTAGATCTTATCATTTATATATTCATACAACGTTAAATATTAATAATTTATGTATTTATATTATATTTTATATAAAAATTATATGTTATAATTTATATCGATATAAAAATAAAAAATATAATTTTTTTTATTTTATTAAATTCATATATAATTTTTGTTAAAATTTTAAGTCATTTAACATTCATATATTTTTTTATATAATTTTTGTATCATATTTTAGATTATCAAATTTTTAAATCATTCAAAGTTGTCAATTTTTTTCATAAATCATTCAAATTGATATTGAAAACTATGAGATCATAGCCGACATGAAGAAAAGATGAAAATCCCATCAAAAATGATGCAAAAAAGAATTATATTCTTAGAAAATTTAGTGGAAATAGCCTAAGTTTTTTCTTTTCTTTTCTTTTTTTTCTTAATGCCAAGAAGAGGTTTTATAGTAATCCATTACTTTTGTGAATTCTTACCAAATCAACATGCAAAAAATTGAGGTAGTTTATTAAAGTTTGAATCAAATCTTTTTTTCTTATTGGTGATTAGAGGAAGAAGAAAAAAACATGTGCACATAGTGGAGGACAATTTTTTTGGAGAAAAAAATAGAAAAATGCATAAAAAAAAACTAATACTTAAATGAAGATTTTTACTTGGCATGAATTTTATTTTTTATTAAAAATTATATAAACAATAAAAAAAATTTTAAAAATTTTCGAAAAAATTCGATTTCAAGCTAGATTAGGATTTAAAATAAATACACTATTAATTACGTAAATTAGTAAACTCCATAATTTTTGTATTTTGAACAACATAATGTATTTTTATTTTTAAAAAATTAAAATATAATTGTTATAAACTCTTAAATTTGATTTATTATTTGTATAACCCAACTAATTTTTTTATTAGTAAAAAAAAAAAGCGCAAAATCAAAGGTTGGGAAAAGGTTGGGAAATTAGCGGTAACCAGTCCAAGCCAAATGGCAAAAGACAGTGAAAACAATGAATGGCAAAGCGTTGAGAATGAGAGCCCAATGTCGCGTTCTCTACAAATAAGCAAGCACATAAATTCAACGGCCCATATTCACTCTCTTCCCCTTCTTACACTTCGCTTTCATTTGATTTTCTTCTTCAAAGCATTTCCTCACTCTCTCGTTTCTCTCTTTGATCCTCGCATTCTCACCCATCAGACACACCCTCGTATTCTCAAGGTCGTTATATTCTCCTCATTTCCCCTTAGATTAGATCTGTTGGTCTTTGTTTTCTTTTCTTTTCTTTTCAACTCTTTTTGCTGTTTTCTTTTCTGGTTTGTTCTTTTTTTCTTTTTTTTTGTTTTTTGGGTTTGTTTTGATTTGTTTTATGAATTGGGTTTTCTTTGTTTTGAACCAAAAGACAGGAAAAAAATCCCATTTCTGGAAATGGGTTGATTTTATTTTTGTGTTTGCTTAGATCTGTTTCCTTTTTTTTTCTGCTGTTTCTTATTTGATTTATTTGTTTCTTTGGCTGATTTGCTTTGATGGTCTTTTAGATTTCAGATTGTTAATGGGATCTGAGGATGCTTGAATTTTGATCTTGTAAACCCAAGATTGGATATTTAGAATTCATGGGAAATTAAATTGGTGGAATTCAAGTGAAAATTTTTTTGAAAAAATTATTTATTATGCTTTTAAGTGGTATATTTGTTCCAAAATATTACATTTTTGTTTTGTTATTATGGCAGGTTGTAGAAGATGGCAGAAGCTGAGGATGTTCAGCCACTTGTTTGTGACAATGGAACAGGAATGGTGAAGGTAAATCATTGAAAGCTTTTGTCTTATGAGTGAAACATTGTGTTTTTTGACTTGATGTTATGTAATGTTAAGGTTAATGTTTCTGCCCTTTTTATCTGATATAAGTTCAATGTAAAATGTATTGTCTTAGGCTGGATTTGCTGGAGATGACGCTCCCCGAGCTGTCTTCCCTAGCATTGTTGGTCGGCCACGTCACACTGGTGTGATGGTTGGCATGGGCCAGAAAGATGCATATGTTGGTGATGAAGCTCAATCTAAGAGAGGTATTTTGACCTTGAAATACCCTATTGAGCATGGTATTGTGAGCAACTGGGATGATATGGAAAAGATCTGGCATCATACCTTTTACAATGAGCTTCGTGTTGCCCCTGAAGAGCACCCGATTCTCCTTACCGAGGCTCCTCTCAATCCTAAAGCTAATCGTGAGAAGATGACCCAAATTATGTTTGAGACCTTCAACGCTCCGGCTATGTATGTCGCCATTCAGGCTGTGCTTTCTCTTTATGCCAGTGGTCGAACAACCGGTAAGCATCATTTAATAAATAAATGATTGACCTGTTTGAGTTTTTAAGTTTGTTGGAACTGCACCTAACTGAAACTGATATGTTAAGTTCCTAAATATCATAAGCTGTGTCTGCTGAGTACCATTGGTATAAATGGCATGAGTTTGGTTCTCATTATCACATGTTATGAGCACTTGTCAAAACTTTCCAATTTGATTCTGCTTGGATGGCTGGTGAAATCTCTGAATTGTTTCGGTTATAGTTGAATTGAATTTAATATGTTGAACATGTTTTGCTATACAGAGACAAGCGATGTAACAATGTTGTGTCTTTTTCTATGTAGGTATTGTGTTGGACTCTGAGATGGTGTAAGCCACACGGTCCCATTTACGAGGTTATGCTCTCCCATGCCATTCTTCGTCTTGACTTGGCTGGCCGTGACCTCACCGATTACTTGATGAAAATTCTGACCGAGCGTGGATATTCCTTCACCACCACAGCCGAGCGGGAAATTGTGAGGGACATGAAGGAAAAGCTGGCATACATTGCTCTTGACTACGAACAGGAGCTAGAGACCTCCAAAACAAGCAGCGTAGAGAAGAGCTACGAGTTACTGATGGTCAGGTTATTACCATTGTGCTGAGCGATTCAGATGCCTGAAGTGCTTTTCCAACCATCCTTGATTGGTATGGAAGCTGCAGGCATCCACGAAACAATACAACTCCATAATGAAGTGCGATGTGGATATCAGGAAAGATTGTACGGTAACATTGTCCTCAGCGGTGGTTCAACGATGTTCTCTGGTATCGCTGACAGAATGAGCAAGGAGATCTCTGCACTAGCTCCTAGCAGCATGAAGATCAAGGTTGTTGCGCCACCTGAGAGGAAGTACAGTGTCTGGATTGGAGGCTCAATCTTGGCTTCCCTCAGCACCTTCCAACAAGTAAGTTGATTTACCATTGATTTGCATTTACAGTGGTCTGGTTGCTTGTTCAATGTCTTACATTAGCCGATTCGCATGCTATTTGGTTGCAGATGTGGATCGCAAAGGCAGAGTACGATGAGTCAGGTCCATCAATCGTCCACAGGAAATGCTTCTAAATGTTTTGATACGAGAATAGGTCAAAGAAGGTACTGCTACACAATTCTTGGTGCAGCTTGAAACGTTGCTTTGTTCT